GTGATCCTCCCCCTCCATGCGACACTGGTCAGGCCACAGTTGGAGTACTGCGTCCAGTTCTGGATGCCGCACTTCAGGAGGGATGTGGACAATATTGAGAGGGTCCAAAGGAGAGCCACTCACATGATCCAGGGACAGCAGAGTAGACCCTACGAGGAGAGGCTACAGGACCTTAACCTGTTCAGCCTTCACAAGAGAAGGCTGAGAGGGGACCTGGTGGCCATCCATAAACTTACTAGGGGGGACCAGCGGGAAATGGGAGAGACCTTGTTCCCCTGAGCGCCTCCCAGAGTAACAAGGAATAACGGGCATAAGTTGTCAGAGAGTAGGTTCAGATTAAACATCAGAAGGCACTACACTTCACAGTCAGGGAGGCTTGGATCTGGAACCAACTTCCAAGGGAAGTGGTGCTGGCTTCTACCTTGGGGGTCTTTAAGAGAAGGTTTGACAGTTACCTAGCCGGGGTCATTTGAGCCCAGTTTTCTTTCCTGTCCAGGGCAGGGGGTCAGACTAGAAGATCTGCAAGGTCCCTTCCAACCTTATATCTATGAATCTATGAATCTATATGCTATGCTATGCAGCAAATATACCTATGAGCAAATAAATTGGATTAAATTTTCTACATGTAACAATGTAGTTTTATTTTTGTTTCACTTAATTCTAATTCTTTTTACTACTCACAAGGCATTTATTTCTCTCACAGGATGTATTTTTCACCATTAGGAATCACATTACTAGAAAACAAGTTACTAAATTAACCAAAATTAACTATAGAGCTAATAATACTGCCTAAAATTGGTGGTTTCTTTGCTTTCACATTCCAAACACCTTATTTTTGTCAGTCTTCATTAACATATATGTCTACAACAAAATTATTTTCCTCTGTAAGCTTTCATTTGTCAGAGGTCTGTTTTTCTCATAGTCTAACCCTAGATCTCTGAACTTAATGAAGTCTTATAGAAGACACTAAATATTTTTTCCTATAATGGAGTTTAAAAGAATGAAAATATTTTAAATTTAAATAATACATGGTATGTGACACTACCCAGTTTCCAGTAACAGGAAATTTTAGACAATAAATGTATAACCTGCTACCATGAAAACAACTATTTTTTGGCAAATTGCTACAATTAAGTTGGAGTCTTGTTTACTGATATGATGGGTAAAAATATCTTTCAAGTAGCTAAACTTTACTAGACAAAATAAAAATTCTGATGTCTGCGTCTTCTTCAGAAGGCCAACATAACTTTAAATATCAATTGAGGTAGCTGATGCAACTGCTAGCTCTTCAGTATGAAAGTCAGGCATAATTTTTAGTACTTCTTATACTGAGTTATAATTCTAGAATCTTTCTGTTACTTCCTTTTTATCTTTTATTATCTTGACACTTATTATCTATTCCACCAGAAATTTTTATAGCCGATTTTTCACTTTTTGAAGTCAATGAACGCTGCCTTTCATCAGTTAACTCCTATTTCTTAAACACAAGTTATTATTATTATGTTTTTGTTAGTTGTAGCATTATTTAGATTTATGTTCCATGTTATAAAACTTTACATATTTTTGCACCTCTTTCAATGATTTAGAACAAACATGTAAGAACCTCTTAGTAAAACAATAAAATTCCTATACAAGATTCACAGCTTGGTTTATGGCTATTTAGAAGAGTAGCAATGTGTTGGATTATCATATCTTTATGCTTTTCAAAAAAAAAAATCTCCCTTGCCTTGGTATGATAATCTTGCTCCAGCCTGGAGTCTGATCCTGCTACCTGTTTGTACTTGCTCATTTTCATTTGGCGATTTCTCTCTTCTGCATCCATTGCACCTGTCAAGTAAACAGAATAAGTAAATAAAATAAATACACCTGTTTTTCAGTCCTGAGATTAAAACATAGTGTATGAAATTTCTAACGGAAGAAATACAATCTTATTTTAATTATTGTGTATGTACTTCTGTATACATTAAACTCTCTTCAAAATTACAATTTTGTGGAAAAAATGAGAGAAAAGCCATAACTGCACAAAATTAGTAGTATACTTTATTATTCTAACAATATTTTAATAAATATTTTATTATGTACACAGTGCAAATTAAAATAATTCTCATACGAAGAAAGAATGTAAATGGAGTAGAATGTTTTCACCAGGTTATTACTGTTACCAAAAAAAGGGAAAAATAAAAACTTTTCTTTAAAAAAAAAATCAATACTAATGCAAAGGCAAACTGATACAGCCTGTTATGGTGATATTCAATTTATATCAACTAATAGGACTAAAGCTGCTATCAGTAAATAAGATTGACTAGATGTACTCTAATTGGCTGTAATGTTTTTCATTTATCATAATTTATTGTAAATACATTTTAATATATATTTTGAAGAATTGCACCATGGTTTTACTGTATCACTCTGCAGTGACATTTAGCTTCAAGAATGATTTCATGATTCACCTTCCTGGATCAAAAGAGACCAAACACATGATTAGTCTCTGTAAAACAGGTCCTAGTTTTATCCCCCAGGGAGCATCCCTCTTCAGTCAATCTGCACTGCAACGTCACACTCTACTTTAATGAAATAATAACAAAAGAAAGTACCAAAGTAGATGGAGAGGTGCAAGTGAAAATGAGAAGTTAATGGTCTCAGAATAATATTGTGAGCAAATATCTGACCAAAAAGGGGCTATCACCAAAGAAAAAATACACTCACATTGTTTAGCTAGAAGGCCTGATCCTCCTCCCATTTAGTTTAGTATAAATTCATTTAGTTTCATTTAAATCCATTGATATCAATAGACCACCAATGTAAATGAATAGAGGGGACTAATGAATGCCAAGTTTCTATCTGAAGCAACATAATCAACAATATTCATTTTTCATAAGGTTTTGTGGCTAATAGTTGTGTTGATTAACCTTTCGAGGATACTAATTTTTTTTTTGAAGAACACAAAAGATTTTCAATGAAATGTTTTAATTTGTAAATTGAAACTGCTATTTACTTAGCGCTATTGAAAATCTGGCCATTATTTATGGAATTAGAATCTTAATTTTACATACCCTATATATAATATCTTATTTAAATCCTAAGCACCAGTTCTAAGGGTGAATTAACTGTAAAATAAAGTCTTGTGCGTGGCCTCTGTACGGGGCTTAGGATATCCTTGAGAGTCAGTTCTGGTGATAGCACTACTTACTACAAAAGATGTATGTTAATTATTAATAGGGATCCAGGTTTTCCATTTCCCATAAGAAATGAAGAAAAATGTGGATTTCCCCCTTTACCCAAGAAAAACATGGAATTCTTGTTTTAAAGGAGAAACACACAGATTTTGCACATTTGCAAAGAGCTCTCTGTAAGCTGGCAGAGTTCCAGCCTGCAAGGGAAGTGGAAGGAGGGTGGTTAGGCAGCAGGCACACATGCATGTATATGCACATGGCCATCAGACAGCCTGGAGAGCAGCTCCCCCAGGTAAGTATGGTAGTGGGGAGGGGGGATTGAGGCCCCCATAGAGCAGAAAGGAGGGAGTTGGCCACAGTTAGGGCTGGGACTGCTGCCCAGCTGGGTAATGCGTGGGGCTTGGGGCCTGAGGCTGGAATGTATGGCAGGGAGTGGGACAGGGCCCGGGACAGGGCCATGAGCAGCTCATCCAGGGGGCAGGAGGGGTGGGGCCAGCTTCCTGCCACTGCGCATTCTCCCTAGGGGGCATGGGGGACCTGAGCCCTGCAGACTTGTGTGCGGGGCAGGGTGGGCCAGCCATTGTGGGCTCGGGCTCCCTGCCCTGCTGCCCTCCCCAAGGGCCTCTGCAGCTCAGCGGGCAGGACCCAGGGCAGCAGGGCAGAGCAGGGCCAGGCTGGGAAGCTCACTGATGCTTTGAGTTCCACACTGCAGGGGGCATGTCATCAGGGTGGCACAGAGCTCACAGTGGCAATGAGCTTCCCTACCCAGCCCTGCTCTGCCATGCCGGGTCCCACCCGCTGGGCTGAAGAGGCCCTGGGGGAGGCAAGACAGAGACCCCAGGCCTGCAGTGGGCAGCCCACCCCCCACACAGATCTGGGGGGAATGGGTCCCCCCCCACTCCCCCAGGAGTGCATGCAGTGATGGGAAGCCAGCCCCTCCCCACCCAAGCCCACAGCATGCAGCCTGCACCCATCCATACTATGGGCTCTGCTCTAGCTGTGCTGCCTGCAGGGGAGGGGAGCTGGGCTCCATGCTCCGCTTCACTGCAGCAGCTGCCATCTCCCATGGGTGGCAGCTGGGGCTTGGGCACTGCTGTGGGGGGAGGAGGCTGCAAACCCAGGTCCCTGGCCCTGTAGTCCTGGACACTAGGGGCCCTCTCC